AAGGGGACTGCTTGGCAGGCTGCAGGCTGACAGGGGAGAGCTGGAAGCAGGGACCCCAGCTTGAGCCAGGACATAGCTCATCCTGCCCTTGAGGAGGACAGTCCATAATGTCACTTGCATCTAGTAGCAGAGGACTTAGATCTTGTCTTACCCCCAGGACCAGAATCTCTTCTAAATCGTAGCCTTGGTAAAGAAGCTGTGAAGTCTTGTCCATTAGTGGAAGATGTGGCCCCCCAAGGACTCCTTGGCAGCTGGGGATTTAGCTTAGCTCTAGAGGCCTCTTGGAAGAGCTGGAAGGATAAAACCAGTGAAGTCTGGGCTATGGGGGTTAGCAGAGATGGAATTGAGACTCTTGCTCTGATCTTGACCCCACTGCTCTTTAGTCTAGCAGTCCTGGGCATTGCTGCTGCTGTCTGCATGCCCTTTGCCTCTCTCTCCATCAGAAAATTGAGGAACAGAAGAAGTGGCTGGACATGGAGATGGATAAAGTTCTCGAGCAGCGCCGGGCCCTGGACGAGCTGGAGGATGAGCTGAGGAAGCGGGAAGCTATTGTGGCCAAAAAGGAAGCCCTGCTGCAGGAGAGGAACGGCCTGGAGAGCAAACGACTGCGCTCCAGCCAGGTAGGACAAGAGTGTGACACCTCAACCCTTTGCTTGATTCCCTGCAGAGGTGGGAGGTTGGAAGACCTGGGTTCCATCCTGGGTCTGGCAGAGGGCTGCAGGCCAGGATGAGGTGGTGTTGGGAAGCAGGTAGGAAATCTGCCTCTACAGAAGAGCCTGCTTGTGCTGTGCCTCTGAGCTAGTTGGTTTGATAGCCCTTGGCTTATGTGTGCATGTGGCATCACTTGACCTATGGAGGGAGTAGAAAGGCGCCGAGGGCCTGACTCGACTTCAGAGCAGATCTCCTTGAGCATCTTCTGCTGCAGGCCCTGACAGATGACATAGTGCGTGTGTCCAGCCGCCTGGAGCGCCTGGAAAAGGAGCTGACTGAGAAGAACGGGCAGCTGCGTCACGGCAGTGCCCATGACCAGCAGCAGATCCGCCAGGAGATCAACAACCTGCGCCAGGAGAAGGACCAGCTGCTCAAACAGAGGTTGGAGCTCGACAACAAGCTGCGTCAGGGCACCCTGCTGTCCCCAGAGGTACCTCTTCTTGGGCTGGGCTGCTCTGCTTGCAAGAGCATGGAGTAGTAAGAAGTAAAGACCTGAGCATGAGGTCGTTAGTAGATGCTTCCCCACATCCCCAAACTGTGTGTATCCCAACTTCTTGCCCTATTGAGATGACAAGGGAGGTTAGAGCAGGGTGAGACAGAGCGAACCCTTTGCTCCGTAGTAACTGCAGCTCTGCCCTGGCAGGAAGAACGGATCTTGTTCCAGCTGGATGAGGCAATCGAGGCTCTGGATGCAGCCATCGAGTACAAGAATGAGTCCATCACATGCAGGCAACGAGTCCTGCGGGCCTCAGCCAGCCTGCTGTCCCAGTGTGAGATGAACCTCATGGCCAAGCTCAGCTACCTCTCCTCCTCTGAGACCCGAGCTCTGCTCTGCAAGTACTTTGACAAGGTGGGAGACAACTGCCCTCTGTGCCGGTGGGAGCTGTAGTATCTGACCAAACTCTTTGTTTTTCTGTTTCAGGCTCTCTCCCTGCCTCCTACTGTACTTTTGCCCTGTCAAGTCAGGCCACAAAGCCACAGCACCATGATCCCCACCTATCCCAACACCTGAGAGAGGGTCTTAACTAATTGTAGGATGCATAGATCCCTGCAGTGGCTCTGCCACATCAGTGCAGCCACACATTGCTTTTCCCTCCGTGAGGCAGCTGTGCCATCCCAGAACTACTAACCTTCGTACACTATACGGAAAAAACTTAACTTGATCAGGCTTGGCGGGGCAGGAAATCTTCCCAGGCTCTGATGGAGCTAAGGTGTTCCTTGTTCTTGGGCCCTGGCCAGGTAGTGACACTGCGAGAGGATCAGCACAGGCAGCACATTGCCTTCTCGGAGCTGGAAATGCAGCTGGAGGAGCAGCAGCAGGTGGTGCACTGGCTGGAGGCGGCCGTGGAGCGCCAACGCCTGGAGATGGACCGACAGCTTACCCTGCAGCAGAAGGAGCACGAGCAGAACATGCAGTTACTGCTCCAGCAGAGCCGTGGTAACACCCAGCTCCTGAAATGGGCAGCAGTAGCACTGCTTTCATCTTTCACAGGGCTTGGAGCTTGAAATGGCCTTGTTTTTTTTCTTGTAGAGCACATGGATGAGGGGCTGGCCAGCAGCAAGCTGCAGTATGAGGCGAAGATTCAGGTCCTGGAAAAGGAGCTGAGCCGTTATATGTGGGCAAACCAGGAGCTGAACCAGAGACTGAGTAACATGAACCTCCATCCTGGACAGACCAAAGGTGAGAGGAAGTCCAGGCTGGGGCTTTGCTGTTCCTGCCAAGTCAAAAGGAAGGGAGTTTACATTCTTCTCCCTGGCAGCAAGAGCATGGAGCGTTGTCAGGAACAGTGCGGGTGCAGGTCATTGCTGGTCTTGAGCAAGTGCTCTACAGGCACTGATTTTAATGAGAAAATTAGAGCTCCTGATACTCAGCTCACTGTATCCCCAATCTTTCCCAGCAGCGATGGAGAGAAGCATTCACGGGGCGGGGGACAGAGCTCCCCCTGCGCTTGGGACCTGCGAGGAATCCAGCCTTGGGGAACAGCCCGTGCCTCTGGTTGTCACTGAAGAAAGCCATCGGGTCAGGGATGAGAGCAGGGACCTGGTACATGCCCCTTTGCCATCGACGTGGAGGCGTTCCTCCTTGCCCAACGACAGCCCTGGGGACCTTCGGCAGAGGGATGTGGAGCACTTGCTGAGAGCCGGGCAGCCCCACGAGCTGCACCCACCACGGACCCTCGCTCCTGCCTCCAAGCCCCGCCGGGAGCTGCGCAGAGCCAGCCTGAACGTAACTCCAGTGCCTTACCACCCAGCAATGATAGATGTGAGGAAAAACCCACTGTAGACATAGGCTTAACACTTACCTGGCACAGGGCAGGGAGGAGCAGATATTGCTGACACGAGCTTAAGAGCCTTCCTGCCCATCAAGCCAGCCTAGCTACAAACCTGCTACATTTCAGAGGCCTGAGGAAGAAAAAGACATGACTTTCCATCATAAGGGAAGTATGCATGTAAAGTCTGAGACCACCAGCCTATGTTCTCCATGTTACTGTCAGTCCAGACAGCGCCAACTGGACACCTTTCCTCCTGCACCTTTCGCAGCTTAAACACTGGGAAGAGGGAGATACCTTCCACCTGGGCCTCTAACACTAAAAACCTGTTTACAGTTTGGAAACCTCTGCTGCAGGGCTTGCTCAGCCCTAACAGCCTCAGAGGGAGATGCTCTGCAGTCCTGCAGAACTTGTACATAGATTTTTGTAGTAACTTTAGGTTTTTTACATTTCTACTGTAACTTTTCTAATAAAAGCAGAGTAAGTTTTATGAAGCAGTCACTTGTCAAAGGGTCCAGTGGTCACTTACACATCTGGAGTAAGAAAGGGGGTTTATTTAAACCTCACTGCATGGGAACTCAGCTGCTGTCACACAGTCCTAATGTTTTAAGTACTTGCTTTGTGGGCACTCACAGCCCGAGCAGGTAGGCTTCCTACTTTAAGTTACTGCAGGAAAAGCATCTCCAGTCAGCAGCAGAATTGTCTGAAGCATCCAGAATAAAAGTAACTCTGGTTCTGGTTTTCTGTTGCAGCCTATAAGCTGCTTTAAGTAGTGTTTTCATATTCTTGGGAAAACTTCCAGTCTGGATGTAAGGGAGATTAAATACAGTCCTGCAACTTAACACTGACACCATCCACCTCAGGAGGCCAGGCATAAGTTTAACTCTGGCAGAGCAAGAAATGAAAGCCTAGGTACTTGCCTTAAGGAGGGCAAGGGGGGGAACAACGGCAGCTTGGCTACCTGACCCCAAAAAGCAAAGCCACTGCTTCAGTCTGAAATCAGGAGCCCAGCTACCACAACCACCATTTGAGGGGTAACACACACCCAGTTAAAGGCCAGCATCTGAAGTAGGAACCACCTCCTGATCTTCCTCCTACATCGTCAATCTTGCCCTGAAGGTGGGGACATTACTGAGGACTCTGGGTGTGACTGAGCTGCACAAGATTTAAGGTCGGAAACTTTATTTTCTGCTGTTGTAAACAAAGGTGTTCAGTAGGGAAAAGAATCCATCCTACTTAGAAGTAGCAGTCTTGGAGCTCCATGCTTGTGTATCAATCCACATCCTTGAAGCAGGTACACCTCTGCCCCAAGCAAAACAATCACTGGTAAGCACACCATTCCTCCCCTCGTAGCAGAGGGAAGGAGTGAGCTTTCCTGCAACAAAGGAAACAAATTCCATTCAATACCATCTAGCCCCTCAAAGCCTTAAAGCCATGTGACAGGCTTCTGCATTGCAACGCCTGGTTTTTAGATGACTTCACACTATCTTCATAGCTCTCTGCTTTCTGTGCCCTCACTAGACACAGCAGGGTAACTCCCCTAAATACCCTGCCATGCACAAAGAGATTGCTCTCCTAAGGGGGGAAAAAAAACCAAACCAGCCCTTCCAAGATAATGCACAGTTTTAGACCCTTGTAGGCCACATCTCAGGCACTGAATCACATCTCCTGCTGTCTTCATGGGGTTAGAATGCAAGCACATGTTTCACTGGCAACTAAGTCACTATTTAATCAGTGACTCAGTTCGGTAGAGAGTACTTTGAACTGTCATCTCCAGTTATTCCATCAAGTTTTACCTTTCGAGGAAGCTTCCCCAACCAGTCCTCTCCAGCTCACTGCAAGTTTGCTGAAAAGGGCAATGAAGTTACTCCATCAGCACCTGCTTACCCAGCAGGGGCCAGGAGCAGATACACCAAACCATTCATGATGTACAAAGAGGGAGAACCAAATTCCTCTCCCTCCCTGTTCCCAGCTAAGTTATCTTCCCCCTCCCCTGTAGTCTTATGGCATTTGTCAAGTATTTCTGAGTAATTTACTCATTAATCCATCAGAGTTCATCTGCTTGTCATCTGCTGGATGCAACTAACAGAGGGATCCAGTTAGTTCAAGACAAGATACAGGGCAGGAGCACACAGCTTGTTTTGTACCCATTCACCATCACCATCCTTCTTCCTGCAGCCCCAATCTCTGGGGCTAAAGACAGATTTCTGAATAAGTGACACAATGAAAATTCACATCAGTTTATTTTACAAGTAAGCTGTAGAAAAGTGACAGCTCTCCCTCTTTACCTAGCAGAATTGAACCTTCACTGCAGAACTCAGCTACCACATGCAGAAGTGCCAGAAAGACTGAGCTAGGCTTTGAATGGATGGAGAGGGGCTGTAATTGAGGTTAAAACAAAACAAACAAACAAAAAACCCCACACAAAAAACTTTTAAAGTGGTCCTTATTTCCAAGGTCATATGCTTGCATCCAGTCTCCTACCAACACAAGACAGCTTCAGTCCAGTCCAGCACCAAAGATAAGGTCCTTGTTAAAAATCATGTTGTACAGCTGGGATAATGCAGTTTCCCACACTGACTCCAAACTTCAGCTGAGCAGCTTTTTCCGTGAGTAAGTCCTGCTAAGGGGACGTTTCCTGGAAGCCATGATGTGGAATGGAGACAGCTCCTGGTTGACAGTAATTTGGAAGGCATCGGATTCTTCTTCTACAAAAGAGAAAGAATAAATTAAAGCCACAGTTTGCCAAAGTATACCAGTGACTCCAAGAAGCCAAATACCAACTAGAAACAACAAGAACAGTAAGCTGCACTTCCTACTAAGCTACTCTCTCTTTGTTGCTACCTCCCCTCCCTTCCAAACTTCCCAGTTCATGCCAAGTTTCTTGGAAGCATGTGAGATGGAGACACTGAATACAAGAGTGGCGGATACAGCCACAGGCTTTCTGCACAAAGACCAATCCCAAAGCCTTTCCTTACAGCAGAAGTGGTTACCTTGAACACACTTTCTCCGAGATGGCGGTGTCTGTCCCTGGCACAGTAATGGAGACTGGGTCAGCGCTAGAAGGCTGCTAGCTGAGAGCGCACTCTTCACTGGTGGAGTTGAGCCTGGAGAAGCACAGTGAGATGCTGCAGCAAACTGACAAGAGTACTTGCAGGTAAGTCTCATACACAGCCTTTACTCTACCTCGAAACTCCCATCAGTACAAGTGATACTCAATCTGAAACAAAATCTAGGCTGACACAGTGGGTTTCTAGCATCAAGAAGGGAAAGGTAAAGTCTGGAATTAGCTCTTAGTACATTTAATTTTCTTAGGTGGTTTAATAGAAAAAGTGCTTCACTCGTATTAAACATAGTAACTCTTCAGTTAACTCATGTGCCCTGGAAGAAAACTCTTACAACCATGATGATCTATCAATATGAAAACAAGGTCTGTAGGTACAGAAAGTCTCTTACAGGACCAGCTTAAGGCTAAATACTACTATTATTTCATGTCCTGAACATGGATGGAGTAATGTTGCTTTAAAGTTTGCCCATTTTTCCTCAGTGATACCTGTTGAATGAGTAAGACACTGCCTCTGTATACAAATCTTTCCTTGCAAGAAGGAACAGACACTGAAGCTTAATGCTTCAGGGCATGCAGTGACTATAGAACAACATCTGCCATAGTCCCCTGTAACATGTAATTTCCAAAAACAATACTGGATTAAGCATTTGAAATTCACAAGGCCTTGCTTACAGAGCCAAGACAGCCTGTTTCACCAAGGTCAGCTGAATCATTTCTACCCACAGCAAAAGCAAAGAGGTAGTTTAAACTTTAATACCTACCTATACAACACTACTGCTAGCAAGGCAATAATTTCTGACACCCGCTTTATGGGCCCACCACCACAGGCAGATAGAAGAACTGGAGGACCGATAAATACTAACATCCACAGGACTAACCCCACCAAGGCTCCAGTCTATACTGAAGCAGCCAAGCTTTAGACTTAAGACATTGGGCTTCAGTGTTGGATGCTGGGCAGAAACAGCTAGCAGCATCAACACAAATCCAAATAAATTGCCGGTTGGATGCAACTGGGATCCTCCCTCCTCAAGTTCTCAAACTTTCCTTTTAACTCCTCCAGCCTCCTTCTCTTTCATATTTCTCTGATCTCTCTCACATCATTAATACTCCGTTGATGAACTCCTCACATCCAGTCTGTCTCTCCACATAACTAACTGCCATGTCATTTACAACCCATGCTCCCCCTCCACCTTATTCTCCCTCAGACAGACAGAAAACAATCGTGTTCTTATCTACCCCACATTTTTAACCATCTCCGAGTGTCAATGGAGTGTCACCTGTGCCACTTAATTACCTGGCAGAAGGAAGACATCGTCATCCCCCACACAACTGTGCTGCTCAAGAGTTATGAGCGTACATGCTCCTGGTTTCTCAGGAAGTATAGAGTCCATCCGTGATTTGCTTCTGTTGCCTTCATCTGCGGGAAAGCCAGTGAGATCCAAGTTGCACCTGTCAGTGCAAGATCTCTTGGCATCATGATTCTCCTCCTTTTCTGGCGATAGATATGTAAAGACCCGCTTCCGAGATTTCAGGCCAAAAGTTCCCATGGCAAAGTCATCAGCCCTGGGTTCAGAGTCACTAGGAGATGCCTGATCCTGGAGCCTGTAAATCCCTTCCAGCTCAAATTCCCCAAAAGTATTTGTTACTTTGCTGCTGCAATGCTCCAAGATCTTCATTTCTCCTTCTCTGCCTGTTGACATTCCCTTCTGTTCATCAGCATTCTTCTCACTTTGAGCAAAGCTAGCATTACCAGTGCAGCCTGCTGCTCTCTTTCTCCGAGGCCAATCCTTGATAGCATCAGGGGTAGTCTTCCCCTTCTGCTTTGGAGAAGGTGTCTGACGAACTCCTGCTTCTAAGGGGGACGGGGAGGTGGTATTAGAGGCACAGCTCGTTGGGGTGTACGACTGGCATATGTAGGTCTGCCCTCCACCTTTCCCAGGTGTACTGTGGAAAGAGCGAAAGCAGGATGGTGAAACACAGGCAGCTGCAAGTTTTCCCGGGTGCTTGCTACACCAGGTCATAGCAAGATCACCAAAGGGGCTTTCTCCTCCCTTGGGTTTGCTGGCACTTGCTTCAGGTTGAACTTCCAGCAATGAGCAAGAACCAATTTTCTTAATGCGAAGTTTAGGCAGGCCTGAAGCTTGCATTTCAAGTTCAACTTCGTAAGTTGGTGGGCTAGCAGAAGGCAGTTTGCAACGACTTTTAGGAGTAGAGAGCTTGGCTAAAAGTTGAGGATTTCCCATCCGTGCTGCAGCCTCCCGCTGCCTCCTGTCTGCAGTGCAGCGTAAAGAATAGGCAGGAGCAGACTTTGGTGTAGGAGGTGAAGCATTCAGGGCAAATCTGGAGTGTCTCTTAAGACTTGGAGCCTTCAGCCCTGTTTCTTCTTCTCTCAGCAGGATTCTTTGTTCCAAGTCATCACTAACTGTTTGAGAACCACTTAGTAAGGACTCGTATATGTTTGCACTAGAATTCCCCTCCTTAACCAATTGCTCATGCTCCATCTCAGCATTCTGTGCACGTACCTGCCCTCCAGCAGGAAGCTTCGGAGACAAATGCTTTTCCAAGTTTTCCAAGTCCTCTCTTGGAGACTTTTGAGATGCTACATCCATCTGTTTGTTTTTTTCTGATACAGGGGTATTTTCAGTAACTTGGGACTGACAAAGCTGAATGCTTTCTCTAGAAGAGTTACCACCACTATCATCGTGATTGTCCTTTTCAGGAGGTGTTGCACATGCAAGTGTGATGTTCCCTCCTCGTGAATTTGGTTCACATTTGGCCTGCTTGGATGTGTGATGCAGGGACCTCAGTGAAGCACCAGCAATACCTGGAGATTTTTGAAAAGATGGTTTAGATGCACCAAGTTCCCAGTCAGACTCCCTAGCCTGTGTGTGGAAAGGAGAGCAGATTGTCACAGTGTTCGTGGAACTTTCACAGAGAGGAGAACTGAAGGGAGGCTCTAGCCTCACAGCGAGCTGCGATATTTCTGCACTCAGTGGGCTGGTACGTAATTTTGAACCTGGATCTTCAGGTGTCCTGGGAATACTTTCAGTTGCTTGAGATAACGGATCTGACTGCACCTGAATTTCCTTTGGGAGGATTTGCCTCCGAGTACCAACTGGAGATGCGAATTTTGAGGGGTATCTCAAGGAACGTCTTGGAGTTTGCAGTTCTGCAAAACATCTTTCCTTGTCAGCAGAGGGGGAAGAAGCAGCTGGATTTGAATCTGTCAGAGGTAATGAGGCACTGAGCACTGCAAACCCTTCATGTTCTGGTATTTGTAAGCCAGTGTCTTTACAAGGAGGGGAAAGTCCGTCTGCTGGAGAACAATCCTTAGAAGTTACTTCCAGTAAGTGAACCTTCTTACTTTCAGTTAACACAGATGGTGACCTGACCCTTTGTACAGGATGAGAAAAGTACTTTCCCAAACACTTAGCGACAGTCTGCTTAGCAGCTGGACTTTTGCCAGGAGTCTTCTCCAGCTTCTGCGGTGTCCTGTGGAGAATGCGAGGTGATCTCCTTGGTAGCTTACTGGCAGAATTCAGTGGCTTCTGGGCAAATTTATGAGGTGTTTTTCTAGGAGTCTGCAGGAGAAAAAAAATTAGTTAAATAATCATGCTTGTTCTATTCCAGCAGTATTATCTACCCCTCTTGATATTTACTTCTCAAGATTTAAAACAAAAAACATTTAATCAGACCTAACAGAAACAGTAAATTTAAGATGTGTAGGTTTCACTAAACATGAATGGAAAAAGGGGATGGGAAGAAAGAGAGGTAAGTGTTTCTACCTGACAGGCAGTCAGCTCCTCCAAGTGTAAGAAATCTTTTCTTCTTCTCCTTCCAGGGGAATGCTTCACTGCAGGACTACACGTGTCAATGACTGCACCAAAGAAAAACCTCTTGGGAGTCTGGACAGTGGGGCTCTCCAAATGCCACTTAACACCTATAAATTGGAACAGTTCAATTCAACACCAAAGTAACCTGCCACAAACAATTGTCTCAATCACTTCAGATGTATAGACAAGTAGTGTAAAGCTTATAGCCCTGGTATGTTCTTTTCTAGCCAAATGTTAAAGCTTCACCAGAATTACTGTTATTTCCCAATATGAAACTAATATCCATCTGTAGGAGTGCTGTAGCGGAAAAAAAAAAAGTACTAAATAGCTCAGCCTCTCATTCTATTTATATGTTTTAGCTCAAGAAAGTTCTGGTTCATGACTAAGGATTCTAGTAAGTACAATATATAGAACTAAATGTCACCATTTATAGCGGATAATCCTACTGAGACAGCCAGCAAAGAAGATCCCATCAGTCATTGCTTTATGCTGCCACAGAGTAGACTGAAAGTAAGCTTTAGGATTTCTGTCCCATATTTTAGAGGGATTTCACTGCATTTAAAGAATGCAGACTGACAATCAGCAGTATTCTCTTAGATGGGCCTGACTGGTTTCTTAAGTTGGCAGTGTATTGATCATAGAAATAGCTGCCTTACCATCCTCCAACTTCAGATTCCCAATTTAAAAATAATTACTGGGGATGAATTTCTGTCTACAGAAGATATTACATGATAGCTCGTAGCTTCTTACAGTCTCTTGCAGAGCCAAATCAAATCAAACTCAGAGCTATCCATGCCAGCTTTTCAGATCAGCAATATCAGCCTGCTCAAATCTCATTCAGTACCTTCTACATCCTGCAGTGTACAGCCCTCTTCTTGTCCCTGATGGACGCGCTGTGAATTTTGTGAGCTGGGCTTTGTAGTGGAATAGAAAACACCAGAGCAGGTCCTATTCAAAGAGAGCTGTTTGATGCGTGGGCTTCTTCTCAAACCTGCTTCTGAAAAGGTAAGGATATTGGAGATTGAGCCTTCTTTCTCCCTCAACAATGGGTACATCTTCAGGAAGAGTTCGTAAATGAGAAGAACACACTGTAAGAAGAAACTTCCATACAACTAACTATTTCTCACACTGGGAGGCAAGCACACAAAGAGGAAAGCTTCACCTTTCTTAGGGGGTTGGAGTATTAATGCATACAAATCTCCTTGATGCCTCCTCCTCTAAGTCATGATTACTGTCATCCCTCTCTAGCAATTATATGGAAAGGAATGCCAGAAAAGCCATGTTCAATTCAAGTTACATCCACGTTAAACGATTAGTTCATTCTCCTGTCTCTCTTAACTAGTGATTTCATCTTCCTGCTTGCCCAACCATGCTGTTTTCCTCTTCCTTCCTGGGGATAAGGAACAGCAGTAGCCAGCATAACACAGAGCCACTCCACACAGCCAGGTGGCTATCTGTTACAGTAGAAATCAGAGCAATGTTAGGGTCACAGTACAACATGTTGAAGTTACATTAAAAAAAAACAACACTCTGCCCTGCATGTGCTGGTTTGACAGTAATTACAGCAGCTCAGAGTCTTGTTCACCCTCAAAGCCCTTCATGTATTTTCATTTAAAAGAGTTACTATCTACCTTTCTTTCTTAAATTCTATTGTACAGGGTTGTCAAAGCCTGTCAAAGTGAGCAGCAAGCAGTTCTATCGGTAAAAGCTGTGCTCCACCAACAGAATAGGACAATACTTTTGTACTGACTATTCGTGAATTACCTAAATTGAAGCATGCTCATCTTACAAGCTACGGCACAGCAAAACCACCTTTAATTAAAAATAAATAAATAAATAAATCAGTACTTACCTTTTATGGCCTTCTCTGGAGATTCTTCTACAACACCAGCGTCGCAACCTGGATCAGAAGACCTTGAGAAATGCAGACATTTTGGACTTAGCATACTATTCAGATCTACAAAACCAGAACTTACCACATAGACTGAAAAGCAGTACTCTCTTCTACAATATATTGCTTTGTGGGCTACTCTAAGTGAGTAATTAGTAAGCACTTTGTCTCCTATTAACATAGAATTGAGTATGGGTAACTGTCTAGCTGTATAGGTAACAGTTCTACATGGAAGTAAATGCTAAATTTCAGCCTGGAGTCCACAAAGTACAGCACAGGTCTTTTCTTCAGAAGCCCTCAAAAGAGCAACTGAACCTAAACAGAAGTTCACTGCAGGAATTAAAGCACCCTGACTTACATAATGAAGCTGGCAGTATTTCTCCGCACTCAGACAACAGAACAGCCTCCACTGGTTCTCTTGCTGCCTTTGAAGATGACACTTTGCCCACAAAGAAGATACCTGGTTCTTGTGCTTGCAGCTATTAATTAGACATCCAATACTTACTGAAGAAATTCAGAAAGAGCTTACTCACCGGCCTTTGATCTGCTTACGTAGTAGTCTCCTGGAGACCTGCTTATGTAGTGGTGTTTCCGCAACTCTCTTGGTCAATAACTTGCGATGATCTAAAAGTCAAGCAAAAGCTATAACATCACACAATTATAAAGCAGTTAAATAAATAATTACAGTTTTGTATAGGCTTCAGTTTAAGAATGACAGCCAATATAGAATCATTGTGCATCACTCTCCTGTCACTCATAGGCTATCATCATTTCAGAGTCCAGTGTCTATGCTTCCTTCCCACTCCCTCAATATTATTAATAGCACTGACTTCGTGTCAGATATAATTAACCTACTGAGATAACTTTCATTCTTCACCTTTCAGTCACAGATGCTTTTTTAAATAAGCATTTTTAACACTAGTTTTCTTTGAGTTCAGTAAAAAATAAGTTTCAGTTTCAATACCATTCTATTCACTCTCCAAACACCACAGTGATGATCTAAAATATTTTCTCCTTCATTAAAACCATATCATAATTAATTGTTTTATAGAACTGAGGACACAAGAATAGCAATTTTAGCAAAAGCTCTTCCACAACAATCCTACGTGAACAAGTCATGTCCTACCTTTAGTGCCTTCATCGGTGCATTTGTATCTTAAGCCTTCCACAGCAGACACTGACTGGCTTCTAGGCATCTTTTTCATAGACCTTTTCGATGGTGAAAGTACCTCTTCATTGAAGAGGTTTCTCCTTACCTTTGTAACCTCTGTAAGGCAAGACAAAGCAAGAAACGATCAGATTAAAAGGAAAAAAAGTGGAAAAGGAAAAAAAAACATCACAGGAAGGTAATTTTGTCAGGCCACTAGAGATGGGAACATCACATAACAGCATAGAAAAACAACTTTTTAAGAGGCCACAAAGTGTCGAAAAGTTGTTTTTCTGCTACTGGAACATGTCCTCCTCTAAATCCATCCCAGACTTCTCTTACAAATTTGCATTATTCCAGCAATAAGCTACAAGCAGATGTCGTAGCAGAAAAAGCAGCCAGTCAGGGTCCCAGATGGAGCAACATAAAGTGAGCTACAAAAATCTCAACTGAAGTACATGCTAGTTCAGAAAACGCATGTGGGATTTAATTGTATTAAGTATTTTGCAGAGAGATATCCTGCTTCCACATATTGTCCTCATTTTCTTTTCAGGACAGAGAAGACAGAAATAATTGCAAGACTCAAAAAAGAGTGGAAAGGTTTTCTTTTCAGGATACATGATTTAAGTTTTCTGCATGTGAGCACACACAAAATACAGTGATTATTTTTTCCTCAAAGTTTCGCAGAATTCAACAAAACTTCCTTCAGATTTCCAGCATGCTTCAGCATAATTTCATCATGGCTTACTAAAATTTACAGGGAGAACATGTGCTGAAGACGCACCTTTCCAAGGAAAAGCTAGAAGTCAATATACCTTGCACTGCTTCTTTCTGCAACAAAGGCACCTGTTCAGACTTCTCAGTGGCAAGGTAAGAACGCAAGTTCTCCTGAAACAAAAAAGAAGTTAGTCTCACTGGCAGTTTAATGTTATGTTTAACTATTATGAATATTAGCTGTAAACTCTGAACCACACATTATTTCAGTTTCTCCTTCAAAACAATTTTGATCTCTGTAGAGCTGATACAGGGCATACTTACTAAGCGAATACAGAGAAAGGGTTTTTGCACTCAAGTGTCACTTCTTCACAATGTTGCTGCACCCCTGCAGAAGCAACCCAAGCACAGTCCTTTTGGAAGAGTTTTACCTTTCTGATGGGATTCTTGGCTATCTTGGGAATCTCAATTTGACGCAAGTTCTGTGGTGCTTCTGTCATGCTCCTGTGTCTGGCTAATACATTATTCCTTTAGAAAGTACACAAAGATTAAGTTAAAATAAGATCAGAAGCATAGTTATGACAATTAAACTTAGGTTTGACTCTAGAGATAGGAAGTCTTTACCTAACTTCAAGGTTGCAAATTGCATTGGTAACCTCACTTATGTTACAACATTGAAAAATTATATGCAATATTAATACCTAACTTTAAGGTTGGTATTAAAACTCATTTCACAGTTTGCTAAAATGTACACAGGGTCCCCACTACATCATAGTTTTAACCTTAACAATACAGGGTCACCTACTGCACTGTAGAACATCCTCTTCCTCTCATGGAAGATGCTCATGAACTCTGCCCTTGCATAAGATACACATACAGAATCAAGATCACACTTTCACATAGTCAACAATGGCAAGCTGAAAAGAGAAATGGGAGCCCTTAGTATTTTCTTTCAGGCTTACAGAGCTATCAGCAGATGTCAGCTTGCCCCAACTAGCTATCCAGCAACAGAAACAAAGATGACTAAGCTGTAGTCTAGATAACTCCTCAGCTACAGCCCAGGCTGTAACAAGCTGCCTCCTGTGTGGAATTATTACCTTCTCTTTTTGGCAGATCTGGTCCGCAGCTCCTCCAGCTGCTCACTTTCAGTGCGTAGGCAAACAGTGCTGGGAGTTAAGGCCGATGATAAAGATGGTGGAAGGCCTGGAGATTTGCTATCCAGAGTCATGGAGTCATCACTGAAGAAGTCTGAAGGCAGAACAGATGCCAGCTTCGGGGGTATTTGTATACCGAGACCATAGTAAATATCTCCAAGGGTCTTGGGTATAGAATTCATATACCTAGAGCATCAGAGAGAACCCACATCAAATACAATTCTTCACAAAACTGTCAGTGTTTCAATCCCAAGGTTTGAACTAAATCTTGGATCTTAAATGTCAATTAAAACAACTGAAAATCAACATTTTTTTCTTTAGTTTACTTGCTTATCAGCTAGTTTTTCTTTAATCAAGATATAAGCGTAACAAACAGAACATGTCTAAACTCCTGAAAATTACAAAGATGCAGTAAATCAAAGCTGTAGATTGCTCCTTACTCAAAGAAGATATCCAACCCAAACCACAGTCCCCAGTAACACTTAAGCCATGCTAAAGAACTTACAGCTCCAATATTTCCTCTAGAAACTTTGTAAGATACCCTGGGTCTTCAGTCAGACATAAGATGCGCAGCATATCTGTCATCTGGAAGAGGAAGTCAAGTGGGAAAACGGATTAAGTTGTGACAGTTGCAACATCAGATTTTTTTAGCAAGGAATATAAAGTGTTACAGTAAAAATCAATGAAGAACTACAGGTTCCAGGTCCGCATTTCTAGTGCCATCCAGAAACAGAACCTGGTCTATAATTTACTTGCCTCTTCTAACAGCTGCTCCATTTCATCAGTGTTACTTTGCAGTGAAGGGCACTGAAGACATAACTCAAGGTGCAAAAATACCTGAAGTTGGCACCTAAGAAAATAAGTAATTATTTATTCAGTGCCTTTTTTCTGGTAGAAATAGCATATTTACTGCAAAAGGTATACTCAAAAAAGCAATGGGATGGGAAGTGGGTCCTTTTGACAGTATAACTCGGTTAGCATTTCATTTTGGTGGTGAGGGAGATGCCCCATTTCAGATGTAAGCTGCAATGGTTATCACACAGCATATGTATATTTGCATGTAATTAAGTGTTTTTACTGTGACCAGGGATTCCCCTTGGAATATTTACCCCATGTATATACTTTTCCACTGGGACAGAAAAGCCACCATTAAAAATTGCTAACCAACTCCACAGCATCTCAGAAGTTGAAGTAAATAGAGTGCCTCATACTCTCTGACTTTGGTCTCCTTCTGAGCGCCATGCTGTTGTCTGAGCATTTTGCTGGTCTTGAGGAGATGGTTTCTGACTCTTTCCACACAGGCCACCTGCAGAGATACTTAGTTACAGCAAAAACTTCAAGTCTGTTCCCTGTCTGCAGGACAGGTTTTTTGCCCCCCTCCCCTCTTGACCCATTCTTTTGGGAATAGCTCCATTTTTTTCTCTCCTTCAAGGAAAGGAATTCTCTTTTTCTCTCAGTAGCAAAGTCAATGACACAAGACATAGAACAAGACATTGAAATCACAGAGAAGGTCACTCACTTGCAGCTTCAGGCCTTCTTCAGTAACTACAGATTTGTCTTTCACAGTATTTTTTTCAATTATTCATAAGTTGCCAGTTTTGGTTTCAGTGAGTTACTTTAAGCCTATAAACAGTGTTAAAGATTGTAGGAAATACTTTGAACTATTTCTCCTCCCTGCAGAAGTAGTAGGCCTAGATTTGCTATGTAAAGCAAAACAAGAAGATACACCTTTTTTAAAAATATAGTTTGCAAGAATGTCTTTCAATAAGTGAAATTACAATTCAGAGTGAGGTCAATGTAAAGGAAAAAGACATCTGTTGCAATCCTTAGCAAATGTGTAAACTGATAACTGAACTGGATTTTCCTACATTCTCTACAGCTACCTACAATTTTTCCCTATTGAGTCAGCAGAGATAGAAGTAGTTAGTGGTTGTGGCTTTGACTACATGCAACTGTGCATAAAAAGTTCAGGTAAGATGAAGGAAAAGTAGGCTTAAATAGCAAAAACTTTGATTTCCAGATCAGTAACAACCCTGCTCACATGCTCTAACCTACCTCTTTCTCTTTGGCATCTTGTACTTTCAAGAACCTTTTAATGGCCACGATCATATTCTGGGCACACACAGATGAAAGAACTCCCTCAGCAACAGCCTTCTGGTAGCTTGCAGCTAAATGGGACTGCAGTTCCTCCTCAGTTTTGAAGTCTGCAAGGGAAATGATCTAAGTTAACTAAATGCCTGTTCACCACACCTTACTGATAAAATACTCATTCCAACTGAAGAGGGGAACAGAGGGGGTCATCAAAAAGACTTTCTCCAGCAAAGATGCATCCAGACCACAGAACACTAACAGAAGCAGTTCCAGGTCCAGACCCATGACAAATAATAAGCTTAGTTCCAAGTACATCAGCAAGCTCTTGGGCTACTGTAGCAGTCAAGAAACTCCTTTTTATTTCTGCATAATTAGTAAATAGGACTACATTTCCAGTTACACGTTGATGGGTGCTTCCCTCTACTTCTTTTGGTTAAAAAAAAGGAAAAAAATAGAGTTCCTTAATTCTTTTTTCAGATGGAGACAAGGCAGGAAACCAACCTCAGGAGCAGCTGTAACACTAGGTTATAAACACATAGAAACTAACTGGGAGAAGGGTGGAAAAAGTAACCACTTTGTGCCAAGCTGAAGATACAGAAACCCAAAAATTGATCTGCTCCATAGCACCTAATACTCAATTATTATCCTTCACTCTCCCTTCCATAAAACTCCCATATGACCTCCTAAAAATATCAGGACTCAGCACATACCTATTGCTATTTTAAGTGCTTTTTCCTTTTCTTCAACCTTCTCATCCAATCTTTTTGCTGAAAGCTTCTGTGGAACCTTCTCATTTGCTGTTGGTGGCACACCATCAGGTTGAAACTTCTGAGCTTTTACATTCAGTCTCGCTACATTGAGCATCTGCAGGGATCTGGACATGGTCTTCATCTTCTGCCTGACTGGAGTTCGGGGAACCCCACCTGCAACGCCACAAAAAGGGAGTTCTACTGTCAGACACACTGGGGCAGGATCTCCACCCAAGGTACAGCAAAATACTGAATTCTGTGTTACTGTCAAGTGAGATTAGTAACTTTCTAGTGGAAAACATGTCCCAAAGGGTTTGTATTTCTCCATGAAATAAATGTACAGGCAGCTACTTTTCTAAGTAAAAAGCAGGTGAAAACTGTTGCTCTGCGTAAGAACTTACACAGGTATAATCAGGAGTTACATATATAGGAAGCAATCTTATGTCATAGAAATAGAAACAGCTGACAGAGCAAGACTTAGGGATACACCAGGTCAGGGTATAGTCAACTGTGGTTAGTGTACTAAAATACAATGATTAAACTCTTCTAGAAGAAAGTGGTTTATTTCTCCAAATTAGAACAAAGTTGAGAGGTTGCAATATTTACTAGTAGTTGGAGTGATCCCTATTTCAACAGCTAACGGAACTGCAGAGCTCTGCATGCTGCTTTTTAACAGTTTTGTCAGTCACTGCACAGCCTTGGATTAGAGTAATTTGGGTTGTACTAAAGGACAAGCCTAATATTAATACATAAATGATGCTGTCTCTAAATAAAAAAAAATCTAAAGCATGCCACTACTCAGTAAAGTACAGATCTCCAGGGTTCATGTATTAAAAAGGCCTGCTGAGAAGTCTTTATCATCTCTGATTGACAACATGCACATAGAATCCCAAAGTACACATACGTCTCTTTTTGTTATTTCCTGGTCCAGATGCAGCAGATGTTTCACTGATTTTTCTCCGGTACAGCTCAGATAGACTTTCCGAGAGCTCCACTTCAGATTGGTCTGCATCATCCTTCCCATTAGCACAAGAAACCTGCAGGAGCCTATATAAAAGAGCCATTCAATACAGTTATTAAAAAAGACGGGAGTGGGAGGCATATCTGTTGTTCCCAGTAGACAGAAAACAGTTTTTTCTAGGCGCCAGTCCACAACGATATAGTGCAAGTAACACATGCTAGTAGTCTTCCAATGCCTGCTCAAAAACTCTTACCTAAAAGACACAAAAAACTCAAACCACCCTCTTAAAAGGGTCACACTAAGCTAGAAACATGCGTAACTCGAGTTGCCTGATATACAACGGGTATGCCATTGACCCATGCCACAAAACTACATGAGCAGCTTTCTGCTGTCTAAACTATCCTGCATTAGGCTTTTTGTTTTTTTAAATGTTTCACTTGGCAAGCTCTTTGAAGCAAGCAGGCTTACTCATTCCTACTAAATACCAACTGTGATAACACAACCACTGTCTTCAGTATCTTCTAGTGGATCTTATCATACCATACAAAAAGCCAAAGTCTGACATTTCCCCAAGTAGCTCAGGTCATTTTAAGCCACCTACATCACTCCTGAAACTGTCAAGATCTTAATCCACACAAACTGCTACCCAAACATCCTGTTCCCAGTTCCTTTTGTCTATACGCCAAGACATAATGAAGAAAAAGCATGCAGTAAACTGAGTAAAGAAAAAAAAGCACAAAGAGCAGCATTTAATTCTAGAACTCTGAGCAATGCTACAGCCATAATCCCCTTATAGGAAGCAGAAATCCTTGATTATTACTCAGAGACATGTTTCAGAAAAAATACCTGAATGACTCCATCAGATCCGAGCTTGCTCCACAAGCATTCGATGCAGGATACCATGCTTCAAGCACTGAAGGATGCCAGCCCCCTGTATGGGACAGTTCCCGTTGGACCCACCCTGGCATAGGAGTTTCTTCTCCTGTGAGCAAAGACACAAAAAAATTAGAAGGAAATTAAATGAAGTGGCAGAAGGCCCCAGCCTTCACAGAGGCTCTAAAGCAAAGGTTTCAAACCTTTGCTCCTGGAGGGGCAATTTAATAGTCAATACATCAGGTGGGGAGACTCATAAGAAGATTCACTATAACACGAAACAGTCAAGCTAAAAGCAGCCTCCTTGCAGCCACACTCAAAGGCTTTATTGGCATGGGATGGCTTATTGGACACATTTTAGGAAACCTCATTCTAAAAACTTGTCCCAAAGCACAAGTAGCTGCACTTTATCTACAAACTAATATAAACTAATGCTCTGTCAATAAAACAGACAGGTACACCAGTGCAGATTTCTGTACTGCATCACAAGGCCTGAGCCCCAAAAGACAAGACAAAATTAACAAGTCCCAAAAATGACCGACTTCTCGCTGAGGAAATCATTAGCTTTAGATTCTTCCACTCCAAATCAGATCTACAGATGATCAAAAGATGGTAAGTTTTGCATTTCCTGACACCTACCCATACTGGCCAGAGAATCTTCCACTGATGTGTCAATTTTACTCAACACACTATTCACAACATCTGGGAGGTGAAGAGCATGGTCTTGGGAAGAGTTCTCCACTACAGCTCCTTCAAGGTTGCATTGCTGAACTTCAGCAGTCTTCTTGGGACTAAGTAGAGTCAGAACTGCAGTGGTCTCAGAGAGTGGCGACAGAACAGCAGTGCAGGGGCACCAACATTTAGATAAAGATACCTCAGCAACCTACATTAAAAAAAAAAAAAAAACACACAGGAGAAAATTTTACATTATCTAGAAACACAGAGACCTAAGGAGAACAGATACTTTACAAACAGGTTATCGATTGACACAATCTTCTAAAGAATGTTCTGAATTTAGCTCTAAATAAGCTATTTGCAGTGCAACAAATATATTATTATTTTCTTCACAACATGATACACTGTCACCCCTTTTGTCACAGTTCATTTCAGAACAGATGTTAGTTTAAGGCAAAGAAAAGATTTACCATGTGCAGTTCTTCAGTCACTAGACTCCTTAACAGCTGATGAAACAGTGACCTGGTATGTTCTGCCTGCTCAGCCTGTGAGCTCTGCAGTATCCAGCTCTCTGTGAGAAAGTGGCCAGCCTGCATCAAGCTCCAACCCGCCAGGCTACCTTTGAGGAAGATATTGACTGGACAATGCAGTTGTCTTTGGCTCATGGCTAGGGGTTCCAGGATCACAGCACAGCTTTCCTGCTTCTTTCCTCCTGTGCAAGGATAAGATAAAGCAAAAGTCCTAAAGCCTGTAAAATGAGGTTTTTCATCTAGATGAAGGGACAACTTCAATGCAGGAAAATGATACTCAGAGATTAAACTGGGAATAATTCTACTGTAAGCATATTGCAGATCTGATCTTCCCAAGCGCTTATGGAGGAGCTAAGTGCACAAAGGGACCACTAAAGAGACAGTGCACACTTCATGTTGCTTTAAAGTTAATCTACTTTCTTTTGAAGGAACTTTTTATTTGTGTTCTTAGTTTAGCCAAATTGAAGCAGACACAAAGCATGTAGAAGAAAAGTGTGTATATCTATATAAGGTGGGACCAGCAAAGAGCTCTTCAGGCATCCAAACTTCTGGAAGCACGGAAAACTGAAGAGACTAAATCAGAAATATGGGCTAACAGCTCTCATATCAGAGGAACCAGAGGACGTGCAGGACCTTTTTTTTTAAAAAAAATAAAAAAACAACACAAACACACAAAACTTAGGCTCTTAAATATCCAAAATTACTTATACATGTACTGTTCACAACAGAAACTCATCAAGGACCCTGCATGAGAGATCACAGTTATTACTAGGCACACCTATTTCTTTTTCTTTTTTTTTATTACCAGGCATGCTGAGAAACATCGTTCCTTCTTGCCGGGGGAATATTGCTTGAAATACAGAGGGCTTTGAGAACAAGCAGTTTAAAGTCGCATCCAACAGCGGAAGCATGGTCCAAGGCACAGTCTGTGGCACTGGGGAATTTGAGTCTCCAAGAAAGCCATGAGCAAGCTCTGCCCTGTGGTGACTCAAACATTGCACTAAGATTTCAGATGGCAAAATGGTGCCTCCCAGCTGACGGATCAGTTCAAACATTGTCCAGTATCCAACATGATCTGGAGAGTCAATCAGCTGAAATAAAGTAACAGAGGACTCAAGTTAATGTTGGCAGTGAGATAACCTCCATCCAAACAAACAGAGATTGCATGCTTTTAGAAAAGTTGACATAACAAATGCATACAGAGCATCTTAACACAGTGCTTTCCAAGTGTTTTTATGGAGTTTATTAAATTATCAGGAACCCAATAAAGGAAATACTATTCCCGTGAATTAAAAAGTAGCCAACATTTTCAAGCACATATCCATTCACTACCTGAATTGTCAGACTGCTTATCTGCAATTCTGAATGGCTGTAACTCCCACCTAACTCAAATCACAGTCAACATCAATAAACACTACACAGTTACTCAGTTGCTGATGTATCTTTATCTCCACGGGGAGAACTACCACTCCAGGTTTCAGTCTCTTGCTGAACAAGACTAC